TTGAAATGTTCTTCTCGGTTGGTGGAATGATTGTACATCATACATCTTAACTTAAGAAGAACAAACAAAAATTGACACAAGTTTGAATTAATTTTGCATTTTCTCTAGTCCACATGGTATTAGAGAAAATACAAAAGTATACATACAGGCTCAAATATCCAATAGCGAATTATACCATAACCAGATGCTTTTGATATCCGTCAGAAATGTTTATATTGTTGAGTTTAGGGCTTTTGGTTTTGCGTTTGGGTTTTAGAGTTGTTGATTTTGGAGGAGGAGCTTCTTTCTTGGTCAGCACCCTCTCAGTCCAATGTGGTATCAAACTCACTTCACTGTTGACAATGATTTTGGTGTTTCAGCAGATTCTAGTTCGTGGTAGGTGTAGCCAATTCTTAATTTTTTAAAGTCATTAAAGATGTATGCTGTGCCATCATCCCACCCTGGAAAAAAGAACATTTCAGTACAGTGAGTGTTACTATAGTTGATAATGAACATCTTAAAGTTCCAAATGTTAGAAAAGGAAATATGATGAAGAAAACAGAGAAGAATGATTTATATATTTGTTAGGAATTACAATATAACACTACTACTGCTAAAGCATTTTTTAAGCTTTGTAGTAAAGATCCACATAAACAATAGACATTCAAACAACTTTATAGAACATTTCAGTCTTTTAGCACACCTTCTTATTATTACTGTAAAAAGTAACAATGTGTTTATAGTTGTGAATTTCGCGTTTAAGAGATACTCAGGGCAGAGGTCCTTTATTCTGCAGAAAGCATTAATTAGGCGTCAGTACTGATCTTTGCAACTGTGTCATTGTGCAGGAGAGAACCTAGCAATCCAAGGAAAAGCCACACAGTCTTCACTACATTCAATAGGCGTTGCTTATAATGCCATAGATGGCAGTCGTGCCAACAACTGGAACCAAGCTTCATGTAGTCATACAAATGCCGACTTCACCCCCTGGTGGCGACTGGACATGGGCAAAGCCCATAAAGTGTTTTCTATTAATATAACCAATCAAAGAGATGGTGTTCCCCAACGAATCAATGGAGCTGAAATTCGAATCGGAAATTCCCTAGACAACAACGGCAACAATAATCCCAGGTAGTTTACAGTTTAAAAAATTAACTTAACTTTCATCAATGACGATTTTGGGGAAGTAGTATCCTAAAGTGTTAGTTTGCTTGATTATTCAATAACAAAATAATTTCTCTTCTGAAAGGTGTACTGTGATCTCAAGCATCCCTGCAGGTTTCACCGAAAACTTTCAGTGTGACGGGATGGAAGGTCGCTATGTCAACATTGTCATCCCTGGAAGAATTGAGCATCTGATTCTATGTGAGGTGGAGGTGTACGGTTCCAAATTGGATTAGCTATCAGGATGCTGAAACTGCTTAGCTTAGGGTGATGCATTTGTACAGATTCATGTTGCATTAAAAATTTTGGTTCCACATATTAGAGTTTCATTATTATAAAGAATAGTAACATCCATTTGACCAATGTGAGGCAGAAGGATTTCAAAACAAGTTGAAAGATATTAACGATTACATTGAATATCAATGTTATAACAGCTAATGTGGTAGTAAAAAGTTGCCTTACACAACCTGCTGTACCAGTTACAATTATGTGGAGTTATTTTGTTTGTGCCTGCTGATAATGGAGTAATGAGGCAATTTTTTTAATAAAAAAAAAAAACCTAATCAAAATAATGATCAAACATGATAAACGTTAACTTTATTTTTTGCACTCTGTATTTTTCTTTTTTGTTGCTTGTTTGTTGTTGTTGTTTGTCATTTGTTGCTTTGCTTTTTACAGCTGCTGAGTTGTTTCTTTTGACTTAAGTGAAAATGTACATTTCTAATTGCGAACTTTTCTATGATTGCAGATCAATATTGGCTCATTCTTTCTGAAATAAACTGAATCAATAAAAAAATATTGGTTGTAATGTTTTTGTTTGTTTGTTTTTAAACAGAACAACATAAGCCCCATGCCCCCGGTGCCGAGGGTAAAAAGGAGCTCACGTTTAATCGGTTATAACACGGGGTGAGAAATATAAGTCCAGACATGTGTGGTATTCATGTGACTGGCTAAAGATAGGCTGGTTGTCTTCCAGAGCTATCACTGACTCCACACAAGTTTCACCACACTCTGACCAAAATTCACCGAATGAGCCACAAAATAAGACCACAAAAAACACAGCGGCGCAAATGCGCTAAGACAGAAATTGGCTTACTGTCCTGATTTCCTCCGTTATTTTCGCCGGTAGCCGGTAGCCACGTGATTATCAGTAGTTACCACGCCTACCTAGCTGCATCAGAGCCGTTTTCCATCAACAACCTCCATTTTGAACCCACCTACAGACACGTGACTGGACAGACACCACATTTGGGCCCACGTGGATTTTGGCATTGCAACGTCTGATTAGTTGAAGTTAATAAAATTTATTAAGTTCTGCTCTTTAATACCTAAAAAATTCAACTGGCATGGTGTCTAATTGTGTGCCAAAATTGGACATTTTTGTACAACGTCTGGATATTCATGTATTGACAGTGCTGTAATTTTTCACCGTTTCACTTTAGAAACATAAATCTTTGCACAGATGATGTTTATATGTTGGTAACTGAATTTCTAGAATGAAATGTGAACTGAGGTATATTTTTAAAAGGGTTATATGCTAAAAATAAAAATAAAAAATAGGCGAGGATAAAATCTACTTACATTTTCTGTGTTCCAGTCTCAGTAACTTTGGCACTGTATCTGCTTCAATATTTACACCTCTGGTGGAATCTCACAGATGTTAGCTTTATTTTGATACCAAGATTGTAAGGACAGAGTTTGTAATTGCAGAGAAATAATCAATTAAATTTGGGCATTACATCTTCGAGCAGGAAGCTCATAACCTCCTTGGGGCTTAAGAGGTTAAACTAAAATGACTGATCTTGTTTAGTTGGTGGGGCCATTGGAGTCTAACCACCACACACCTATCTAAAGTCTGTTCATCAATAAATTATGTTCATTCTTACTAATTATATTTCCTTTTTGAACTCTTCGCCTGCTGTGTTTGTCAGTATTACAAAGACTTTGCACGCTGTGATGACTAGAATAGCAGGTTTAAAACTGAAAACAACCACCGTATGACCATGATGGTTTCTTTATAGGTTGGACTGTTTTAAATTCTGTTCAGTGGGCACTAACAGGGTCAAAATGAGCCAAGAGAATTCTGACCCTACCATTCGTATCTCACACCAGGATCTGAAACTCATCAGAGCAGACAACGTATTTCCAGTCTTCTGTTATCCAACTTTCATGAGTTGGTGCAAACTGCTGTAGTCCATCTGTTTTAAGGTTCAATATGTTCTGCATTCAGAGATGCTATTCTGAATACCTTCAATGTAATGAGTGTATTTTTGAGTTACTGCTGCCTTGTTATCAGCCTAAAGCAGTCTGGCCACTTTCGTGTAATCTCTGGCATCAGTAAACCATTTTAATGCCTTGGATCCAACTTCTGCTCACTGGATATTTTCTTCCAGTACATTAGCAATTTCTGAAATAAGACCTGACCAACTGGCACCAATGACCACACTGCATTAAAATCAGCTGCATTAATAGATCTGTGAAAGAGTTTCTTAATGACAGTTACACATTTAATTGTCATTAGAAAGCTAAAAGTACGTGAAGTTCAAAATGCACCATTGGAATATGAGCCTAATTGTTCCTAAAAGCCTACAAAAAGTTGGGTTTTTTTTTAATGACAAATTGATCTATGATGAACGATTCCATTAATCGGATTTTTTTTAACTTATAGAGCTTTTGAGCAATTTGATGTAAAATTATCAGTCCACTTATCTTTCAGATACAAGCACATTTCAAAATGGCCCCAAACTTTGAAGCAAAATTATATTTTGTAAACGTCTGATTACATCTTGAGTAATAAGTAGGAGGATATTGCCAAATAACCAGAAAAAACATCAGTGCTGTGGAGAACTGCTTTACTAATTCTTGAAAATGTAATTCACAAGTGAGGAAGTGAAACAAATGTGCATGGGCACAAACCAGTAGGAAGTAACTGGATCGTTTTGAGGAGAATATGAATGTGGTTTCTGATGATTGGTTAGTTGTTGTTCAGCAGAGGCGGAGCTGCATATACATATAAAACACACACAGAAACAACATCAGTAGTTGCGCTTCTCTTTCACTGAATCATCAATTTCCAGGAAGAAGCATCTGCTCAGTCTGGATACTCAAGTAACACATTTCATTTCTTTTCTTGAAACTGATTATCTTTATTATGTTTCTGTATTTTCAGTTTAAATATAGAATTTGTTTTCTTTTTTTGCCCAAAACCCCTTTTTTGGAACCTTAAAACTAAGAAGAAGTTCAAGGGAAAAATTAAGAAAAAAAATTTCAATTCAGGCTCACAACAAAACAACTCTAATGTAAAAATATATACATAAACTAATTCATAACTTAAGATTTGAAGAGTAGTAATCCTGTTCAAGGAAAGATCCTATTGAAGCTTGAAAGCCACTTTTTTAATTTATAGAGAATTCCAATGTTTTCATGGTGAGATCAGTGCTTGCTGCTTTAAGTGAATGGGTGATGTACAGGCATATAGTTTGTAGTGGTTTTGGTCACATTAACATTTTTCCCAGTGTCTTTAAAGTGTTTACCACACTGCATTTCACTTCTGACCAACAAAACACCAGTGCACATTTGTGTTTTTTTCTTTCACAAAGTTTCTTTTCCTACAATAACTTTGATCCTAACTATTTCACCTTAAAGGTGGGGCTTAAATACTTTGACACGGGAACCAGTAATAAATTAAATTTGCAATAAAATATTGTTTACTAATAAAAATCCCATCTTTCTTAAATTCAACAGAATGATGAAACTGAATGCTTTCCTTCTGCTACTCCTCCTAGGAATAAGCTCGGTTTCCACTTATCGTAAGTGTGTGAGATATCGTAAAAATGAAAACACCCCCTGATTTAGTAAAAAAAAAAAAAATGCTTTTTTGGGTTATACAACTGGAGAAGTTCTGTTAAATAGCTAGGTGCCATATTATTTAAAATTTTACAAGTGAGTAAAAGAATTTTAAAATCAATACGGATAGCAGCTAGAGTGAAAGGAAAGGTGAAGCAGGTGAATGTAGGCAGAAAACACAGAGGAGACCAGACATTTTCGGTGACTGCTCCTAAATTGTGGAACACGTTGCCTTTCATATCAGGACCTCCCCAATACTGGATACTTTAAAAACCCATCTGAAGACCCATTTTTAGTCTCTGGCTTTAGATCAGTATGAGTCTGTTACTACTGTTTTTATTGTCTTATATTTCTGTGATTCTATTCCCTTCTAACTTTATCCTATTTTATGTCTTCTGCTTTGACTATTGTACAGTACTTTGGTCAATAGATGTTGTTTTAAAAGTGCTATATAAATAAACTTGGACTTGAACAAAAGGAAATTGCTAGTTAACTAGTGTAGGGCAACCCTGCAGCTGTAACACTAGATGCCTCTAGATTTTTTCATATAAATTTGGATTTTTGGAGCTGTGGGTTGCAGGGAAAATTGAAAGATTGTTTTTCTGCTTTCCTGGACTGAACTTTTCTTATTGCAGAATAAATTACAGTCTCCTAGAAGAAGTGACTTTATGAAGCATAATCAAAGCAACAACTTGCATTCACAACCTCTTTTATTTAGTGGCTTATGGAAAGCTATTTTTTAATGTGCAATACTCGCCATTTCAAAAACTCTCTTTGTTTGGATATTACTGTATTTTATTATCTACTGATATTTTATTATGCATTGTATATTTTATATCCATTGTACATCTCTGATTTGCAGAAAATGTGGCCCTGCGTGGTAAAGCAACTCAATCAACCCGTTTAACTGATAACCCCGTGTCAGCTGCCCACAACGCGATTGATGGAAATCGTAATTCTGAATTTTCGGTTGGGTCTTGCACACACACTAACGAACAGACGAACCCCTGGTGGAGAGTGGACCTGCTTCAGTCCTACATAATCACGTCTGTCACCATCTTCAACAGAGGAGACTGCTGTCAGCACAGACTCAGTGGGCTGGAGATCCACATAGGCAACTCTTTGAACAATGAAGGTTTAGAAAACCCAAAGTGTGTAAATAGAAAGGAGAAACAAATCATCAGCTATACAATGATTCTTTTTTCTTTAATTTTTGCATTTTTATGTTTGTAAGCATAAAAAAGTATTGTGGTGTTTACTTCTGCCTTTCTAAAGTAATCACTGGTAGCAGGATTGGTTGCTGCAGGGCTGACTTTGTTAGCTGTCCATACTCGGACCATTGGCATGCTACATAATACTACAACAAACAATTTAATTATAGTACCTGCAATGATTTAACTACTGTAAAAATGCATCCCAACTAAATTTATATAGTAC